ACCGAACGTCATCATCTCCCATACCCAAATACATCACAAAAATACAAAGCACACTGTATCTCCTGCTGCACAAATAATCTCAGCACCAAAACACGCACCCACAAAACATAAACAAATCATTAACGCACTATAAAGATTATAGCTTTCTATCATGGGAATATAAACACCTTCTCTAATGGGAATTTAAACACTTCTTCTCGTGAGAATGTCCACTTTATAGCTCAAAAAACAACATAAAGAGAACTGAATAATGATTGAAGTATAACACAATAAAGAGTGAAAATAAGAAACGACAAAAGAAAGTAATTGGTGGGTAAAACTGTAAGTTGTAAAAGGTTGTATTCGAGAGTTTTAATTTTAAATGCCTTGTTTTGACGCCATTCATAGTAATTGGTGCGGGTAAACTGTAAGTTGTAAAAGGTTGTTTTCGAGAGTTTCGATTCGGTATGGCTTTGCCATGACGTCATTCCAACTCAACCGGATGTTGTGCCCTGTCTAGACAATTTTTTTTTTCTGTGTAGCAGATAAGTCGTTGATGTGTCGTTCGATGTTTTAAAATGATTTGATCGTTTTGTGTCATTAGACGAGGCTATTAAACAAGGTTGTGTTACATGAGCCTCATCCATTTACTTGCTAACATACACACGTACGGAATTCTTGCAGCAGGAGTCCATTGATGCCCTGAACACAGGCTGTGGTATGACAGCAGAGCTCACACTGGTTGGGGTGGACCTCTACACCACCTCCGGTACAACCCCCCCATGGGATGTGACCCATTGTTCAAACAAGCCTAAATATGAACAAAATCTCGATATTTTTGACATCGAGGAAATTTGCATTGAAATATTTGGTTATTTTATTGGGAGAGATTTTTTTTTTTAAAAACATGAAAGAATATCGGCATTAAGTTATGAGTTAATAATGTGTCGTTGGTAATTAAACTTAAAAAAAATAAATTTTGTTCATAATCCACAATAACATTTTCAACAAAAAATAGTTTATTATAAGGCATGCGTTCTTATAATAAAAATTACCAAAAGCAAACTTTTATTTGAAAAAAAAATTTGTGTAGGCCTAAGTAAAAGGTTGCGCCATTAGTAGTATCATTTTTACAATTCGGCTGAAAAAGCCAGCACGTGTAGAGTTTTAAACCGTAATTGATATTTCATTTTAAAGTTGATTTATTTGCTATGGAATGTTAAAATGCTTAAAGCCCAGACAGTTATGTACCTTAAATTTTTACCCAGAGTTCAACTTACGTCAGATTTCTGGCACCTTATGGTCGGTAGCCCAGTTCCATAGGATATCGAGCACGCCTGGGGGTGATGGAAGAACAACGGAAATTACCAGCAGCTGAGAATATTCGCTATATATAATATTAATGCAAATGTTTCAGTATTTACTGTGACGATTAGCGGACTATGTATATAAGCATGACACGCACATGAAGTATTTTTAAGAATCTCAATTACCGCAGTCATCGTAAAACTGATTTTGTTAAATCAGTGCCATCTTGTAGCCATCGTGACATCGTTACATAAAGAATGATGTATTTTGATGTTAGGAAGATTATTTTTCTTTTTAAATCAAGTTTAAGAGGAGAGCAAATGCTTTTGGTATTTGCGTAGAATTGATGTTGAAAGTAAGGGGTGGAGGGGGAGGGAACTTGCCATAATCCTACGCCAGCAACCCCACCCCCCCCCCTCCCCCCAACACCCACTTTCTTTTTTTTTTTTTTTTTTTTTTTTGTAGGTGATTTTTTTAGCTAAATTCAATTTAATAGTTGAATAGTCTATCAAATAACAAGGTATTTACTTTATACGACAGCACTGGTAGGTATTTTGGACGTGTTCTTCGGTTTGTAACTTAAAATTGCCTTTATGAAGTAGAGTAGGATTTCAAAACTATTTTGATATAAGAACATGTAACCCATCTGCATAATATTTGAACAGTCAGTTTATATGCACGTGACGACGATCACAACATAAGTAAACTGACCTATACATTAGCCATTCGTCATTGCATTGCCCCCAGGACAAGTCAAGAAGTGAAAAGGCAAAAAAAAAAAAGAGTTGGGTTAGGTTGGGGCTGGGGGTGGGTAAAGACTAGTGTAAAAAGTATATTTTTCTACCTAAAATTCCTACCTCGTCGGGGTGACAGGCTCGCTGAGGCATGCTGGGAAATGACGTGCGTGAGTGTCACAATGGTAGCACGTTGGAGCTGCCTGTGGGTCAAGGACAGCGTGCGGCTGAGCTAAACATTGCTCTGTTTGGAAACATATTTCTTGAGACATAGTAATGTATCTCTTCACTAGTTGTTATATATAAATATATAATGTGAATGATTTTAGGCTAAAACCTTTATAAATAGTAGTACATCTAGATTTCTTCATAACATAAATACAGTTGTTGTGCACAAGAGATGCTAAATTATGTCAACACGAAAGATCATGACTCACCAAGCAGCAACACAAAGATCAACGCTAACAGTCCCATAATGTAAAAAAAGTGACAGACAAAACTTCTGGGCTAATTGGAGCTTGTTTCAAATTGTCTTCTTATCAGATAAGCGGCGATTCTCACAAATTAATCATATGTCCAATAAAAAATGCATTTATTTTAAAAGAATTACAATTATAATCATTTTTCTTCAAGCACACAATATTGACACCGTTCAAGCTCAAGAAGTATAAGCTAAATCCATTTTTAATCAATTTATTTAAACATAGACTCCATTGTTAAATCTTCTCCGATTAATACGTAATCTAGGTACAACTCTCCAACCTCTAAACTAACGCGGGCAATCGAACTAAATCAAGAAGCTTTTTTTTCCGTTCGCCGAATATCTCAAAGTGCATGGGCATTTCCTGCAGTCTACAGTAAAACTTGGGAATGACGTAAACTACTGGTACCGATGAAAAAGTGATCATATTTGCAGTGATTGTGATCTTTGCAGTGATTGTCATATTTGCAGTGATTGTCATATTTGCAGTGATTGTCATATTTGCAGTGATTGTCATATTTGCAGTGATTGTCATGTTTGCAGTGATTGTCATATTTGCAGTGATTGTCATATTTGCAGTGATTGTGCTTTTTGCAATTATAGTTGTATTTGTAGGGATGGTTGTATTTGCAGTGATGGTGCTATTTGCAGTTTCGTACAGAATGATGAGCACACTTAATATTTTGAAAGAAGGTGACATGCAAATGAGAAAACGAAAAAGAAAGGGAAAAGACAACAAATGCAGAACATTCATATGAAACGTAACTAGATTTTATTTTGTTTAACCATTCCTTCGTGCAGTTCAATGACATCTACATGTGAATGTAGGATACAAATATTGAATAATCTGTTGGGAGTATCCGAACAATTTGTATGTAAGACTATCTGTGCATTGTCGCCTTGCTTTCGCTATACCCGCTGTTCAATCACAACCACCAGCAAGTCTTCTGCCAACACGCTGACAACAACAGGCTGTAGCCCTGGCTGTTGCATTGTGATTCTTAAAACACACTATTGCTGGTTAGCAGACATGAGGGGGAAGCGAAAGACCTTCGTCACTTCCGGTTCATGGCGTAATGGCGGCACGGCATGGCAAAAGACGCGATACTGTCCAACGGAAACCAGTGCACAATTCACGTATGCAAATGCGCTATTTTCAGATGTGTTTGTTAAGAAATCAATGCGTGCCTGGGATGGGTTAGCAAATATGCCAATGCTAAGGACAGCACTTTTGTGTGAGCCAAGAAGGTGTGTGAGAGTAGAAGGTGTGTGAGAGTAGAAGGTGTGTGAGAGTAGAAGGTGTGTGAGAGTAGAAGGTGTGTGAGAGTAGAAGGTGTGTGAGAGTAGAAGGTGTGTGAGAGTAGAAGGTGTGTGAGAGTAGAAGGTGTGTGAGAGTAGAAGGTGTGTGAGAGTACAAGAATTTCCATACTCGGCAACGATGATTTATAGTATTGAACTCGATTTATTGAAGTCCAACCACGAGATTTTGTACATCCCCTTTAATTATAAAATAGTTGAACGATCAAATTTCCACTGTTCTTTAAAAAAAACAAAACAAAAAAAAAAAAAAAAACCCAAACATTTATGACTTTTCGTTTGCTTGCAAGAAGTCAAAAGAACTTTCTCTACTTTGATGCAGGAGTTGTCTCATAATGGGAAACAATCTGTCTCCCGAGCCACACATAATCGACTTAAAAGAGCGACAACGCTGCAAGGCACCCGCAGCGCCGCAGGAGTTGTTGCTGTTTCATTGAGCTCAGTCTGGAGTCTGTCTTGGAGTTAGCTTGCCCCGACTTTGCAAATTGGCCGATTACCGATTAATCGGCCGCTGAAAAGTTATTACGTATTTATCTTTGAGATTGAAATGCCAATTGCAGTAATACATTTATTAGGTAATGCATAATATTTGATAATTTATATATATATATATATATATATATATATTAAAAATGTCTATTATCTCAGCATACATGGAGTCGAGTGCATTTAAAATTTTACTGCAATGCCATATTTTTTAAAGCATGATGGCATCATACAATTTAAAATTATAATTAGCACTTATCCCTACATTAAAAAAGTCATGTTTACGATGAAATATAATTTGAAATCAGAACAGTTTGCACATGTTTGATTCTTAGTGAACATTTTATTAAAAAAATAAAAAAAATAATTTGTGTAAATAAACAATATAGATTTCAGCTTAAATAATGATTTTACAGAATAAAAAATAATAAAATTTTAATCAGTATTAATAGCATTATTAAAGCTGAATCTAAATTGTTTTATTTACACAAATTACACAAATTAATCTACTTGAAAGCTTTATCGCAGTCAAACACTATTATAATTACTAAAACTAATTAATAATTTGCAGTACTGTAAATTATTTTGCAGACATTCACTTAAAAATTATCCACCTTAGAATTATTGCTTGATTACGACAAATGGTTAGACCTTAATTTAAGTGTTAGTATCTAGTCGTAGCAGTCTTGCAGCTTATTCTAATTTCCTGAACAAGAACGAGAACTATAAATAAAAGATTGCTGATACAACAAAACATAAAAATTACGTTACAAGCAAACAGGAATCACATTGAAAGAAACCTTGTGAAGTATTTCAGCTGTCATCCTGGAAAATAATACGTACTAACTCGAGCCTGTTTTTTAATTTTTTTTTACAATCATTAAAATAATATCTCTTAAAAGCGTGCTGAAAATGAGGGAAAGTAGCTTAATTTGCCACTCACCACTTTCTTTATTCTTTAACTTAAACTTTATTTTATTAAAATTAAAGATCTTTAATTACCGGTTTGTAATATTTTAATGTTATAATTTATATGGATATTAATACTATACTATTACTATACTTATATTTGAATTTGATCCAATGGAAAGAGTAAGTCTAAGACTTACTAAGACTTTGTTAAATGACCAGCATTGTTGTAATCACTGTGCTCTTTTTATTTAATAAATTTTTTGCTTTCCATGGCCACATTAATGTAGGATAGGCATAGGCCAACAATTAGTACTAGCCTATATCTATGGTGTACTTAGCGAAACCATCGGCTTTGGCCTGCGTAAACCGCATCGGTGTACCTAGTGAAATCCTGGGTACACCGCGGCAAAAATTTACCATTGGCCTGGTTTTAAGATATACTTGTTGGAGAAGATCGTGTGTGGTCAAGTGGTAGAGTGGACGCTTGGCGATAATATAGTTTGAGATCAATTCTCAGTAGGGGATCGAGTTTTTTTCCTCCCATTTTAGTTTTAAAATATTTTGTAGCAATTGAAACAATTTAAATATATGTTTAAATATTATATTAAATACACTTTATATATTTATTTATATATATAAGTGTTTCAACAAGTTGTGCCGGCCTTTGACTTTGAAAATACCGGTAACTTTAGTAATAAGACTTTAGACATTTGAAAACAAACTTAAAGTTTCTGAAAGCGCATGTAATACATGATGATCATGTATAACAGAAACATTATGAATACTAAGTGACTGATATTCTATTGTATTTCAACATTCTTCGTATAGTTGAATATTTACATTTTACTTTTACGAACAACCAAAGAAAATACCAGTATGAATAATATTCATGCATATGAATATTAATGTGCATGGTCGTATTTCAACCTTGAACCATCTTGCTTTCACTATGCCTTATGCATTGGCAAAATGTACATACGATATCAAAGGTTCATTCACAACACTCAGTCTCACAGCAAATCTTTTGAAAACACCTCGATTTTAGAAACTTGCGGAGCGGTAGCAAACTGTATAGCAAAGCCATAGGTCTGCGTTTACCCTTTTCATGACGTAATTTGTTTCCAGAATGGCATGGCATGTGCTATTCTCAGGGTAAAACACGACGTTTTCTCACAGAAACCATTGCACAATGCGCCTGGGACAGGATTTGCACTATGTCAAAGTTTTTGTATTTGTTGTTGTTGTTTTTTTTTAAGAAATCGATCCTTGCCGGGGAGTGGGGGGTGGTGGTGAGTTATGGGCAGAGGCTTAACCAAAAAGAGGGCATTCACAAATCACGGCTCAGGATAGGGGTTGTCCACAAAGGACGTCCGCACAACCAACTTACCTTTTGCATCCCCCCTCCCTCTGCCTGCATTTTTTTTACTAATGTGTAATGCCAATGTAAAACTAAATCAATGATTTTTAATTATTGTTAAAAGACTTTCAAATAACTGCAGTGTTTCGTATTGATCATCTTACTGCTGTTTTGTGTTGACACATGCTTGGTGTCACAATGACAATGCCTCGGACTACTTTAACTTCACGACTTCATGATCAATGTATGAGTATGTGATTCTCTTCCCGTAGTGTATTTGTGGCGTAATTATATCATGGTGCTAACAAAATAGATACACTGTCTTCCCATTCATTTTTACACCATGCCCCGAGGGATCACATACAATGTTATATTTATAAGGCACCCCCCCCCAAAAAAAAAAACAAACCCAAAACAAAACAACTAACAACTGGGTGGGGGTGGGCATGAGAGAATAATTTCAAATTAAGATTCACAATCATATGATAAAACTTACAATTAATAAATATATTTGTATTTCAAGATATTGGGGGAGGGGGGAATAAAGTGGTTAACTTTAAAAATAAATCATGGTTTAACATTACACCCCCCCCCGCCCCTTCCCTTCCAAAAATAATAAGAAATGCTTTACATGCACTTTGCCACATACGCGTGGACCTTACTCAATATCTTCCCAAGGTAATAAACGAATTTTTAATAGTTTTCAGTTTTAACACGAGTATAACATTAAATCTACAAGTACCGGTTAGGCCAAAAAGTTAAAGACTCGCAAAGACCATAGTTTGGCTACTGTAAATCGCTGCGGTGTACGCAGGCCACAGACCATGATTTAGCTAGGTACACCGCCACGGTGTACGCAGGCCAAAGTCAATAGTTTCGCTAGGTACACCGCCGCGGTGTACGTAGTGCCAGCCATTTTTAAAATTGTAGGCCTGGAAATAGTAGGTGGCAGGAAGTTTAAATTAAAGTTAAATTACATTTCCGTCATTCAGTTCAGAAATTTAACAAAAGATTATTAAAACTCTCTTAGTCTTATTGATTGTTATGGCATGGGAGCCAATTACATTCTTGTTGAAGATACAAAAAATGACAAAATTTATTTTTTTTGTCCCGACATGGGGGACTGAATGACATGTTAAAATAGGGCTGATATTCAATGGAAAAGGGTAAATAGACAATTTTAAACATTGTCACTGATCGAATTTAAATGATTAAGAGAAATCACACAAAAAAGTATTCAAAACATTTATAGCTTACCATAGGTAAAAAAAGTGACACGGCAAAAAAATGGGGGTTCATCTTGTTAGTAAGTTAGTAAATTATATGAGCATCACCGTTAGACAAATATTTAACACAATCAATGACAAAATTAATTTATTATTAGAAAACTGCGACGTAGAATGCAAAAATCCGACTACACCATAGAGCTGATTGTAGAATGTCCACTTAAGTTTTTGCATCATTTTTTGCCATGCGTAGAACCCGTGCCCAAGTCATAGTACCATACCTACACATGAGTTGTCAGAATATTCATTGTGTTAATGTCATGCCCCCAATGTCATGCCATCTCCAGGTTTGATTTCAGAGTTTTCCTTCTATTGATGAATTACCATACAAGATTATAATTGCAATCCACCAAGGATGCTGGATTTGTTTTTGCTTGTCTAGGCTTTTTTAGGGGATTGAACTCCAGTATAGAGCTTGGGATTGACTCAGTTTAGACAGACTGTTCGGCCACCCAGCACCCATAGCTCAGTCTGCCTAGTCTATCTACTGCTAATAATAATAATATCAGAAGACCTGCTAAGAATATGCTTTATCTTCTATTTCTAAGACCTCCTACTAATAATTAAAATGTTGATAACAGTATTAATAACATGGAGTTTGAGTTTAAACTGAAGACCCACTTACTATTCAGTAGGTTTAAGCTTGTATCGACACATATAAAAGGAAAATGCATAACTTAACTATGCACTGTTCTTTTAAATATACCAAAATTAAGTTTCTCATTTCTCTGAATTTAACTCCACTCAGTCATTTTTATTCTTAAGTGTAATTTATAAAGCTTAACAATATCCACCCCCCAAAAAATAGTTGGTACCATGGGTGCCCGCAGGTGGGCCCTTGTCCCCCCCCCTGGATTGATTGGATAAAAAATTTTTAGATAAAAATAGACAAAAAATTTATTAAAGTAAAGAGAAAATAAAGAAAAAGTAACTAAGCTGATGTCCTGACCGTTCGTTCACCATACAAATATGCTACAGTAAATTAAAACTATACTAAAACATTACTAACAAATTTTTGCGCCACCCTGGAAAGTTAATNCCCCCCCTGAAAGTTAACCCATTTTTTTTGCCCCCCCACCCCCCTGGAAAGTTAACCGATTTTTTTTGCCCCCCCACCCCCCCCCCCCTAGAAAGTTTTCTGCGGGTGCCCATGGTTGGTACCTATCTAATTTCATGAAATAAAATAATCACCTATTTCATAACAGTATCTAAAGATTAAATATGCCTTGTTTTGAAATTGTACAGCACAACCAAAGGGAAGGGCATTTAATCTGGCCTGTATTTTGAAAATCGAAGCCATTAACTATAACTAGGTCCAAATTAATCAATTCAATAAACATTAAAAAAAACATTCATAAAGAAAAATTTATGACTGAACTTATTTTAGAAGAGAATTCTTGCAACTGTTACTTTTCCCTTCAGAACTTTTGTTAATTTCAGATCACTAATAATTTTGAACTCTTCGAAAATTTAACTTTAATTTTCACATTTATTTTCAGCTGCACAGTGACAATGGTAAATTAACACTTTTTCAAAACTACCTGTGGCCTTTTAAGGTTGAAGACATTTATCAAGATTTGTTTTGGTTTTCACAAGACTGAAGTTTGACCTGACCTCTGAAATGGATGCTCAAATTCTTGAAGAGAAAATGAATGAAGCTCGCAGCAAATTTGAACGAGCTTGCCAACAAATAGTTCTTCTTGATCAAAAAATCAAAGACCTTGAGATCAGGTATAAACGAGCAGTAAAAAATAAGAAAAACTCTTTCCGTTACAATCTCCGTCTGAGACTTTCAGTGGTGACAGGTGTAAAAATGATGTACCACCATTATGCAAGCACAAAGGCAGAGGAGCTGACCAGGCTGCGTAGACTAGTACCGACATCAGAATCTTCTGAAACGTAATAATTCATTATGATAATTTTTTTTTAAAGCATATTTTTATGAAAGTAAAATTTAATACACTTGATACATTTTTGAAGCTTAAGCCAGCAACAAGAATCAACGGCTAAGCTATTTAATTTTTAATAAAATGTTTTTAGTCAATTGTTTTTTTCAGAGTAGCTTAGTTAAATCGGTTAAAAAATAATCCTTTTAGTCCCTCTCTTACTCATACAGTGTTCAACTTGTTCATTTTAGTTGAGCACCCAACTAAGCAAACTAACAATTAAAACTATATCCTATTCAGGTTCATCTTTTACTTAATTAATTTTAACTTTTTGTGCAGTAATATATTTCACATTGCCTTTTATTTATACCAATAAGACCTTGGTTTCATTTTTAATTGCATTACTTAAAAGAGGAACAAAGCAAAAAATCCTTTAAAAAAAAAATAAGAAAAGTTCTGCATACTGTTTACTAAAAGTTTTAAAAACCTACAGTTTTTGCCAAAGCTATTTTGAAAACGCCATTTTATTTCTCTATCCTTTTCACTACGGTACTGAGTTATTCCTAAGTGGCTATCCATTGTCACAAAATTTTGACTCCCTTATCACACATTATCATAAATTTGACTATCAACAAAGAAATAAAATCAATGTTATCATGGAAAGTTCAACTTTATTTAATGTTTATAATATGTGACCATGAAATAGGACTGAACCAGTTTGTTCAAACTGAACTTATTTCACACTGGCCATGTTTATTGTTAGTTGTTTTTTTTTAAAGAAAAATAATAATGTTTTATAACAAATTTTTATTAATGTAAGTTAAGAATATTGATTTGAAAACGAAAAACATTTTTAAGTTTTGTGTTTTTAATATTTGTTTTACTACACAATGTTTTAAAGCTTATAAGAAATTTATTAATTAAGTAATTATGAATTTTACTGTTGATAGTGTCATGATGCTTTTAAAAATTGTTAACTGCAATTCCATCAAATTTTTACAAGATATATTTCAATTGTGCATGACACTCCTAGTATTTATGAAATGTTCTGTTTTTTTAATTCTATATTTAGTGGAAATATTCTTTTTTTATTTCTACTTATCTGTTGATTGAATTGTAAAAATGTTCAAGCCTGTGTGTGAACTTCAATTTAATGTAAGGTAAGCCTATGATAGCTAAGCTTCAATGTGAAAAGTCCAATTTTTCCTGTCTTTTTCACAAAAATGAATTTCCATGAGGTTTTGTTACTCTCAAGGATTATGTTGCTGGTGTCCATGCTGTAGCTTTTATTTGTTGATGGAAATTGTATTAATGCCTGACTCTTAAAAAAATAACTGCAGCATAAATTATAAATTTCTTTACATACCGTAATAAAGAGAGATGCAGTCATGTTTATGACTTTCATTTAATGTTAGTGAAGATACCCAGAAGTCATTGGGAAAATGCAGTTACTTAACTCTATCGCTGCGGCACAACACACAGCACATTTATCCGATGTGATAAAAAGCAAGGACCAACGCACTGTGCATTGTTTCAGTATCATGGTTGGCTTTTGTTATTTCTCTGTTAAACTTTTTAAGAGCTATTTTTTAAATTAGACTTTTACAGAGAAGAGTGGTACTTCATTGTTTATGTGCGAAAGCAATGTTTATTTGTTGTTATTTGAAGTATGAATTTATTAATATTCTTGGCTGTTTTTTTGTTTGTCAATACTTTTTCAAGGCTACTCCCAGACCCTAGTGGTGTCAGTAAGTTTCCTAGATTGAAAGCTCAACAAGCTTCAGAAATGTTTCATATTATTTCTTTTGATAGTGAAGATGCTTTAGATTTAGATCCATCACATGATTCCTTATATTTTCTGTTTATTTGAGCTAGAGCAGTGAAGATGATGTATGCCTAAATCAAAGGGTTTTGCATTTCAAATTTTAAGTTTCTCTGATATTATATTATTTTAGTGAAACTGAAGAAACAAGTTTACAAACATAAAGTCCATTCAATCATCTTTCATTTGATAACAAATGTAGCCTTATGGTTTAAATAATATTTTAAATATTTTTTAATAAACCCAACCTCTCACTCTTTTTTGCTCTTTGAAAAAAAAAATTTACATTTTTGCGTGAAAAAAAAAAAAAGCAGTGAAGCGTTAAATCATAGGGTTGACAGGTTTTGTGGGCATTTTTTAAAAATGAGAGACATGATAAGATCAGATGTTAAATTAAGGTGAGGGAATGTAATTCGCAATGAGTAATTTCATTTTTACAATAAAAAATACATTTACATATAATGACATAATCTGTTTTGATATAAAGTTTCCCATACGGTAAATGATAAAGACAGTTTTTTAACACCAGTTGACAGCGTGTCTCTGATTTGCCGAGACTGTCTCAGAAACACATTTCCCATCACTTATTTTTTTTTTTTAGTCCTGTATAATATCCCTAATTTTTAAAATTAACGTAGTGGCCCTTAGGTCCTAGCTACAGGCGCATCGCTATTACATCAGTACCCCACATGTGTCATACGCCCCTTAGCCAAGCGTACACTTTCTGAGAGCCACTGACACAGATGGTTCCATTTGACTGTAAGGGCTCAGTACTGCTCTATACCGGGATGAACCTTTTCTGTGGATTTACATGTGATTTTGTTAAGAGAGTAGCATTGAACACTATTTTATTTTTATGGATCAGATCAGTTTTGGCGGTTTAAAAAATTTTTTCTTTGTGACTTATGACCTGGAAATATATGATGGGTGAATTTCTATTAATTTTTTCATTTTTTAAATTATTCTTTTTAAAGTGACTCACTTATAGCATTTTTAGAAGATGCTTGAAATAATTTATTATTGATGTTTAAAATTTTAAAACTTTTTTATAACTTCTTGTGTTTTATTTTAATGCATACGATCGAAAACAATGCAAGATTTCTTTTAAGTTGCTCTTTCTCAGACTGTCTGTAATTTTTAAAAATATCCTCAAACTTTGTATCTCTATTTCGTAGAGAGAAAACTAAATATACAGTATATTTTTTTTGCCTCATACCTATTGTGTAGTTATTTTCTGAATTTCAAACTTGCGAAACTTCATGTGCATATCTTGCCTTAGTGTAGCGTTTGTTACTGTATTTTTGGTGACGTGCCTGCTCTTGCATGATGTCATCTGTTTTTAGTTATTGTTAAATTGACCGGATAAGAGAATGTAATGATGCTACACTACAATGTCAAACTTTCAAACATGTTGGACAGACTAAAGAAAAATGCTTTTTTTTTTTTTTTTTTTAAAGCATTGGACACTCATTTGTGAGGTGTGAATGAGCATAAAAAAAGTTAAACAATTATTTTTAGTGAAGGCTACAGGAGAAGATTTTTTATTTTTTGGTGTGTCTAAAGAAAAATGCTTTTTTTTTTTTTTTTTTAAAGCATTGGACACTCACTTGTGAGGTGTGAATGAGCATAAAAAAAGTTAAACAATTATTTTTAGTGAAGGCTCCAGGAGAAGAGTGGGTTTTTGGATCGGTAAAATATTAAAATATAATCGTAAAGTGTGCCAGGGTAAGGGATCAAGCTGTCTCGCACCAGTGGCATTGATACCTGCTTGATGATACCAATTCCTAGAAAATAATTAACCCTGCATTGTTCAACAATGAATCTCAAAATCTGTACCTTTGAAGAAGAGTTATTTTTTTGAGAGTTCATTGGTCATTGTTTATTTTTTTATGTACCTGTATAGTTGAATTTTTAGCTTTTTGAAATATTAACAATTCAACTGAGAAAAGTAAATGAAAAATTGATTTTTTTTTCACACAGAGCATGGAAAGCATCTATTACACTCTGGTTTTTTTTTTCAAACATAAATGTTAGTTTGTCATAAACATTTTCACCTTCCTTAAGGTAGTTGTAAAACTAAAGACAGATATGGGATATAACCCCATTGTGGCTGGTAGAACTATTTTACACTTATCCAATTATCTTTACCAGTAGTTGTTAAAAATACATAGAGCAACTTTACACTGACAAAAATTTCTACCCGTAGTTGTTAAAAATACAGGTTCCATGCTTGCCTGACATCATTACTGAAACATCACATTCATTTTTTTTGCTGTCACAATCATATTTGGTGTACCACATGTGGATTTAGCTAGAATATTAGTAAATAACAATGACTATGGCTAAGTCCAAAAAAAAAAAAAGGAAAGAAATTGTAATGTATGACTTAGAGGCCAGCCATAAATGAAGTCATGCTATTCCATTACCCCCTAATGTCACTCATCACATATTGGTCACAAGATATAGACACCCCACTAATATATCATCACATATTTGTGACCCCCCCCCCTCCTCCCACTTTCCCTCAACCAAGATGCATGACATCAGATATGGATGGCCTTTTAACTTTTAAGACTTTGCTTTCTTTATGTTCAGTAATAAAGTGTAGTATTTTATCAAATGAAGTATCTGGATTATTTTGTGTCCATTGTCATGTTCGAAATATATATTTTTTTGTTCCTTTTTGTCAGTTTTTGTTTTCCGTTTATCTTTTTTTTTGCAAACTAATCACAGATTATGTCTACGGTACCACCAGAACGCTGTACCGAAATTTTTCCAATGCTGAGTAAAGGGTGGAATTTCGATTATGCTCTTTCTGTTGGTTTTTTTTTTTTAAGTTAAAGTAGATATCACATATAGGAAAGGTAAATAGATTTAGATGCCTGATGTTTTTTTGTTTTTTTTATGTATATTTTTTACCCCTGTTGCCCTTACCCTGGCTCCGCCTCTGAATTTCAGTGAGTCATTGAAACATAAAATAATTCAAAACATGTTTAACGTTGTTCATATCAGATATTTTTTTTTTTCCTGAAGCTTCAGAATGTCAGAACAGAGGAGACTGCACTTATGTATAGCAATAGATAGAAATATAATATGCCACTGTGTTTATACCTACACTACTTTTCGCCACTTTAATGAATTAGTCATGTTGGTTAAAGGGGCATAACGAAGGCTCTGAACGGTGTAAGGTAGCGTTTTAATGGTTTTCCCCCTTTAATTTAGCTTTTCTAAAAAGAAAATTGTGAGTGTCATCTGCAAATCCAAATATATATTTGAAAAATACGCTCATACATTACAATTTATCGCGCATATTGTGAACGTATATTTATAAATACAACCTTTTTTGTCTCTTTTTTTTAAGTTTGAGCTTTGTATAACTATATTTCTCTCCAGAAATAAAAAAAAATGATAAATTAAAAATCATGGGATGGGGTTTGGTGGTGTAAACCAGAATTGAGTATTTTCTCAGAGGAATTGGTCCAGGTTTAGGGCATTTCTTGGAAACATCTTAGCCATATTTTCTCAGAGGAATTGGTCCAGGTTTAGGGCATTTCTTGGAAACATCTTAGCCTTGCATGATTTGAACCACTCCGGTTCTGGCGCACCCCTGAGCATTCTTTTGGCCCAAAATTAGTTTATCCCCTGCACTGTCAACATTTATCGGCCGGGAGGTGAAAAAAAAAAAAAGGGGGGGGGGGGNTGACTGGAAGTGAGTATTAATTAAATTTAAATGATTTTTTTTAAAAATCCAATGTTCGTTTGATGTAGTTATCAGTTGTTGTTTTCAGTTTGCATAGTATGAGATGTTTTAATAAGATATATTTGTTTGAAGGTCCTAATTGACATTAATGATATATATCAGACCTGCACAACTCAAAATGTAAGGCGGGCGTAATACTTTTAGAAAAACTTGTGTGGGCCAAAAGAAAATAGGACAGCACTTGTGTGGGCCAAAAGAAAAAAGGAGAGGGGGGGGGACCTATTAAGAAAATAATAAGAATGAAGAATATTTCGTTACTTCGCGGGCCGCAAAGTTCGTGCTGCCGGGCCACACGTTGTGCAGGCTTGGTGTATAGAATTTTTTTTTTTTTTGTGGAAATTATGTACTTCGTTAAACTGCTCCATTAACAAATACTTTTTTTTAAAATGTTTATAGAAATGTGTTCATATGTATTTCCCTACAAAAAGGAAACGCCGGTACTCTAATGGCCTTCCTTAATGTCTCAAGTTTTACCCTAAACAAAAAGAGAAGAGGAAACAAAACACCTGTTTTGGTTGAAACATAATCAATGACAACTTTTATCATTTGTTTACAAATGGCAAGCATTGTTCTTATTACTGTACTTTTAACCATGACGACAGCGGGTTTACATTCAGATAACATCCTGCCCTAGTTTCCAAGGTGATATTACAGTATAAAGAAATAGAGATCGAAAACTTATTGCCAATGTTTGATAGTTAACAGGAACTAATATTTTTTTTTATGCCCATGGAAAGTTGGTTGAATTCCGTATTGTTCCAAGTGTATGCCGATATCCCCAAACAGTTAGTCTTTATTTCAGGTATACGTAACACACCAAAAAATAAAAATAAATGATAAATTCATACCGGTAGTATTAAAAATGATATGTCAACGACATCAAAAATCTAGAGCATAGCGATTGGTTACACAATTTCCTCCATTTTATTAGATCAAATGTACTATTCGCAACTCTTTGAGATAAATAATGGTATGTAAATCACAATTTCCTTCTTTTTTTTTCTCTTTCTTTTTTTTTTCAATAATATTTACGCTTCATTTTTGTAACACCTTTTCCTTCTGGAATGACACACCGATTTTACACTGTAGATTTTATTCTGCCCCTACACTGTAACAGCTCTCAAATGGGTTGTCCCTACAATGTCATGTCTCTCCAATGGGCTGTCCCTACAGTGTCACGGCTCTCAAAAGGGCTGTCCCTACAGTGTCACAGCTCTCAAATAGGCTGTCCCTACAGTGTCACGGCTCTCAAATGGGCTGTCCCTACAGTGTCACGGCCCTCTAATGGGCTGTCCCTACGGTGTCACGGCTCTCTAATGGGCTGTCCCTACAGTGTCACGGCTCTCTAATGGGCTGTCCCTACAGTGTCACGGCTGTCTATTGGGCTATCCCTACCGTGTCACGGCTCTCTAATGGGATGTCCCTACAGTGTCACGGCTCTCAAATGGGCTGTCCCTACAGTGTCACGGCTCTCTAATGGGCTGTCCCTACAGTGTCACGGCTGTCTAATGGGCTGTCCCTACAGTGTCACGGCTCTCAAATGGGCTGTCCCTACAGTGTCACGGCTCTCAAATGGGCTGTCCCTACGGTGTCACGGCTCTCTAATGGGCTGTCCCTACAGTGTCACGGCTCTCTAATGGGCTGTCCCTACAGTGTCACGGCTCTCTAATGGGCTGTCCCTACAGTGTCATGGCCCTCTAATGGACTGTCCCTACAGTGTCACGGCTCTCAAATGGGCTGTCCCTACAGTGTCACGGCTCTCTAATGGACTGTCCCTACAGTGTCACGGCTGTCTAATGGGCTGTCCCTACAGTGTCACGGCTCTCAAATAAGCTGCTCCTAATCGGGCTGTCCCTAATGTCACGGATCTCCATTTAACTGTCCCTAATGTCGCGGCTCTGCATTTCTGTTGCATAGACATCCGCGTAGTGGACCTTCTCTGCATGCCAAAGTGGTGATAAAGTCACGGGAAGTCTCAGATTGCACAGTACACTGTGTACGTGTAGTCATGGGCGGGTAGTACTACAACCATGAAAGGTATCTTAGTTTTAAATTGCTAACAATAACTTCAACTTAAAAAAAAAACATGTTTCACTTTCATCACATGACACCCTCCATTGTGTCATTTATGGATGACACTCTCCATTGTGTCATTTATGGATGATACCTCCATTATGTTATTTATGGATGGCCCCCTAATTGTGTCATTTATGGATGACA